GTATAATTTACATGAAAGAAAAACATAAATAATGGCAATTAAATTTACTTGGTTAGATTAAAAGATTAATGCAAATTTTTTTGAAGAAAGTTTGTTATATGCACGAGAAACAAATGTCAAAATCCTAACATATACAATATATACAAAAAAAATAAAATATATATAAGATGAAATAAAATATACCAAAGTCAAAATAAATTGTCTGATCTGGCCTGGCACGGACAGTATTAGATTTCGGGGAAGGGAGGGTTTGATTCTCCCAAATGTACAGGCCTAGGGTGGAGCAGACACTTTATTTAGAAATTAGGATTAAGGGTCTTGATATTGGGTTTTCTTCTGTTCTTATTCTGATCTGAAATTAGAAAAAATAACTCGCCCGATGGGCGAGAAGTATAGTATCTGTTATGTACTGATTGTTTTTAGTTTACTATGAACAATATTATCATTTAAGTTCTTATTTTTTGAATATGCAACTATCATTTTCTGCTTATATTATTCTATTATTCTGAAATATGACATTTCATCATCACCTTCAAATCATATATAAAAAAAACCTTGTTTTATTTCAAAATTAACCCATTTAAAATTGAATTTAATTTTAAATCACGAACAACACAAATTCGAAACTGCTGAAGATTATTCAGGTGACGGTTTCATTTCAGCATTAACTTCTCAATTCCAGTAGCTAGTTTTGTTTCAATTAACAAATCACATCTTGTTTGAACTTTTCATTTTGAAATATCTTTCCATCTATTTCAATTTGTCCTTTAAATGTTCAAAATTTATCAGAAACACCCTTGATAAGATTGGAAAACAACGCATTTTTTATAAATTTGTCATCGTCTATAGTTTCAATGCTATTTAGTATATCTATTCTTTAATTAGGTAATTTTGAGCTTATTTTTTTATCACTTTCATTCATGATATTTCTACATCAAATTTATCTCAATTTTTTATTTAATTCTTCCAATTCTTCAACGGTAAGGCTCTTGTCTTGATCTTTCGAACAAATTAAACAATTTATGAAGATAAGTATTCAAGATGTTTGTTTTCTCTTTATAATAAGATTTCTGTTTTGAAGTAAAACCCAAAGTAATCAATCCACAAGAAGACGTTTGAACAGCAGTACATGAGGCTAAAATAGTTGAGTCAATTACGGGAAGTATCAATCCAACGGTTACGGCTGTTACCATTGTTACTCTTACTGTTAGAATTGTGCTTAATGTTTTGAAAACAGAGTCAATTCTACTCCATGTTTTTTTTTACATTTTTTGTATTGTTCTAGTTTTACTTTTAACTCATTTTGTTTTTCTATCATGTATTGTTGTAATGAAATTAAACTTCTTATGGTGATATATCAAAAGACTGATCCAATCAGACTTACAGACTTATTACTTCCCTTCAGTATCAGGGTTTTAGGTGGTAAAATAATGACATTTACACGTATTCTTCTTTTGAATCATTAATCTTGATAAGATGAACTGAACATTTTGGTTTTTCGATATTGATGGTTATCTTACAATTACAAATATATACCTTTGATGTAGCTTCATCCTCGATTATCAATAAATGTATTATAAACCCTTTTTTTTGTTGAGTTTTATGAACATCAACTGAGGAGTAGTAACATTGATGATAAAGAAAATATAGTTTTACATATTCAAAGTCTGTTGCTCGTAAAAACTCATAACTCATTGTTTCATCTTCTTTTTGTGGTTCTAGTTTTCTAATAATATTCATTGATGGTGGAGTTTCTGTCTCCAATATTATATCAAAATCTCTTACAATCCAATACGAATATTTTCATTATCTGGTGTGATAATATACATAAAGTATATGTTTTCCATTTCTTTTAAGTCATTAATATTGTTGTTTTCGTTGTTAATTTCTAATTTTATAGTTTCTTCACATTCATATTATTGAGGTGTTATGTTGATGTTGTGTTATTTTTTAATGTTATATTATTAGTTGGTTTATATTATGGTAATTTAAACTAATAAAGTTCTGTTCTATTATTATTGGGGTGTTATGTTGATGTTGTGTTATTTTAATGTTGTATTATTAGTTGGTTTATATTATGGTAATTTAAACTAATAAAGTTCTGTTCTATAATTATTGAGGTGTTATGTTAATGTTGTGTTATTTCAATGTTGTATTATTAGTTGGTTTATATTATGGTAATTTAAACTAATAAAGTTCTGTTCTATAATTATTGAGGTGTTATATTGATGTTGTATTATTTTAATGTTATATTATTAGTTGTTTAATATTATGGTAATTTAAACTAATAAAGTTCTGTTCTATAATTATTGAGGTGTTATATTGATGTTGTATTATTTTAATGTTATATTATTAGTTGTTTAATATTATGGTAATTTAAACTAATAAAGTTCTGTTCTATTATTATTGAGGTGTTATGTTGATTTTGTGTTATTTTAATGTTATATTATTAGTTGGTTTATATTATGGTAATTTAAACTAATAAAGTTCTGTTCTATAATTATTGAGGTGTTATGTTGATGTTGTATTATTTTAATGTTATATTATTAGTTGGTTTATATTATGGTAATTTAAATTAATAAAGTTCTGTCCTATAATTATTGAGGTGTTATGTTGATGTTGTGTTATTTCAATGTGTATTATTAGTG